CCACCCAGCAGAAGTCTCACGTGAGCCACATATGCCATTTAAGGAACGGGAGGATAAGCAGGTGGACTTCATTTTGATAACATCATTTATTTAGCCAATATACCCAAACATTACCACGTCAACATGGGCTCGTTGTAAAGATCGGTAGAGGTATTTTACTTGCTCTTTTCCTTTGGAAGTCTTCAAAATCTGTTGTGTACCTGACACTTAGGGCATTTGTCCGTTTGCACCAGCCAGCCGTGGCCCTGGAGCCCTCGTCCCTCCCGGGAACCAATGTCACACCTCCCCTGGGCCCGGCCGGCAAAACCCCAGGCAAGGCGCCCGGGGAACACAGTCAGCCCCCTCCTCCAAGGATTCGCCAGTGGCTACTTTGGAAGCCTCGAGACTCTCATCCCTCAGTCAGAGGTAAGTCACTCTGCCCCCTCGGATTGTCCAGGAACCAACGGCCTTTGCTAAGCCCCTACTGCAGACCCAGCCGCCAGCCCCAGGCAGCCACGTGAGCCAGGATTAGGGGCGGCCCCTATGCCTGGTCATGTCTGGGGCTGCACATGATGGGCGGGACTCAGTGTTGCTTGGCAGCAGGGTGGGGGTGGGGGCGGGAGTGCACAGAGCTGCAGTCCCCATGCCCCCTGCCAGTGGGTCCCACGGGGCTCGGGGCTCGGGCGAGGGGTGAGGCCGTGGCTGGGGGGTGCCAGTGTTTGAGGGAAGTCCCTCTCCTGCTCAGAACCCTCCCTGCCTTCTGTGGGGCCCTCGGGGTCCCTGCGCCCCAGCTCTGCCCCCTCTTCTGGGCTCTGATCTTCCAGCCTTCTGGTTCACCCTCTTACAGTCCCTGGAAAATACCATCCGCTTTCTGGCCTCTGAGCCTTGGCACTGCTGTTCCCTCTGCCTGGAACCCCCTTCCCTGCGCTCACCCCAGGCTGGTCTGGGTCACCCGAATTCTCACTTGGGTCTCATCTCATAGGTCGCCCTGTCAGGGAAGCCCCTGACAACAGTCCCAACCCAATTACTGTGCCTGTAAGAAATGCTCTGTCTTGCTCTGGGTCACTGGGGGCCCAAGTTTCTAACAAGCATCCCTGGAAGACAAGTTCACCCCCCAGCTCTCGTGTCATTCCCCCCTACCCCAGGACAGAAGAGTTGAGGACACATTCCCCCCCCCCCAAGCTCATTGCCCCCTAACAGAAGAGATGGGTCAAGAGGGGCCTGGCCATAAGCATCTCTCGCTACATGGGGAAATAGGCCTGGGGTGGGCTCAGGTTGCCAGAGGGTGGGGGCCGCCAGACACGAGGTGACACCATGGGTGGGTCTTGACTCCCTGAAGGGAGCAGAGCAACTGGTACCTGGGGGGCCTCAGGGCAAAGCCAGGGCAGCAGCATCATTAGAAAGATCTAGCTCATGTGGCGTGGTGAGCTCCCCGTCCCAGGAGGTGTACAAGCAACAGCACCAGGTGCTGGAAAAGGGACTGGAACCTTGCACAGGGGTTCATTTGCCCATTGAGGGGTTTCCCTTCAGCTCTCAAGATCTAGGCACAGCCCAAGGTCACAGGCAAGGCCTGAAGGGGGCCGTCCCTCCGACCCAGGCCATCCCCCCACTTGGGGCCAATCATTAATTGGCATCGCTTGAGTGGCTGCTCCCACGAGTCCCCCGGCTGCCTGCCAGCTCATGGCCCGTCTCCCATCTCGTGCCCGGGGCAGCCGCATGCCTCTGACATGGGCTGGCTTTGCCACTCGGCCCCACTTCCTGCTCGTGACTCCCAGCCCCTGAGTTCTGGGAGGAGCAGGGGCCTGCTCAGACCACCATCACGGTGCCCACAGGACCCCGCAAGCCAGAGCCCTCCTGGCTGAAGTGGGAGCTGGGCCTTCCTTCACAGGGGCCAGCCTGGAGCCAAGGAGGGCTTTGAGGAGGGCAAGAGGCCTCAGCCCAGGTGGTAGGGAGCCGGCCCCTCCCACCCCCGGGGCAGAGTGAAGGGAGCGCTGAGGCAGGTGCTGAGCTGGCCCGGGGCTGAGAGACTCAGGATGAAGCTCCAGGATGTGTCTGGCCTGGCTGTGGACAGGAAGAGCCAGGGAGGGGTGAGATTTCCTTCTCCAGAGAAATCAGATGTGAATAAGCAGAGCAGAGGGGAAGGGCCTCCCAGGGTTACAGGCAGTGGGGGCAAAGTCCCAGAGGAGGAAAGGGTTGGCATGCTCTGGGAAGAGGAAGAAGTCAGCCAGGGTGAAGCCAAGAGAGGTGGGGGTGATGTATGACAGGGATTACCCAGACTCCAAGCTAAGGAGTTAACTTTATCCTGGAGCAATAGGGAGCTACTGCAGGTTTTGGAGGAAGGGAGTGACATGGCATGACCAGGGCTGGAGGGGAGGCAGGGGGAGGCACTGACAGCTGCCAGGGGAGACCCAGAGAGGCAGGCCCTGCAGGGGCTGTGGGGCAGGGTGGAGGGATGGACAGGGAAACACCGGGTTTCTGCTGAGACAACAGGAACTCAGGTCAGGGGGAAGGCCAAGAACAGCAGATTTAAGCAACAAGATGCTGAGCATGTTGAGCCAGAGGTTCCCAGGGAGCGGCCACACTGGTCTTGGTCCCAGGGGAGAACAGACTGGGGCAGGGCTCAGGGCTCAGGAGACCCAGCCAGAGAGACAAGAGGAAGCCAGGTGAGCTGGGGCCCCGGCAAGGAAGGGGGGCATCGGTCAGCCACGTGAAGGTCATTAACGGCCTGGACAGGGGTGGCAGGAACAAGACGGTGAGGGATGGGGGCGTATCGGGTGTAGACAGCTCTGCCGAAAAGTTTGCCTCTGAAATGCTCATGGAAGGGAGAGGAGGTGCCTTAGGTGGGCTCCCTAGAAGCAGAGCCTGAGACGCCTATTCCCAAGGGGAGCTCAGGGCATGAAGAGCACTGCAGAGCACCCCCCCACCCACAAGGGCAGAGTTCACACCCTCTGCACCAGTCCGTCCATGGCTGTAGCTGACCCTCCCTGCGGGCCAAGCTTGCAGACCCTCCCAGGCTCCTACTGGGCTGAGGGCTAGTCTCCAAGGAGGAACAGCTGTGAGCTGTTAGCCGTGATCCAGGGGACATGTGACGGCCAGTAAAGGTAATCTGGGTGGGGACTGGTGGTGTCCACTACGGGGGGACGGCGCGGGTCATGGGCTGGGGCCAAAGCCACTCCTCTTGGGCTTTTTATTGGCATTTATTGGGGACCACCGGTGAAGCCCCCCCCCGCCCCCCGCCTGGGACCTGACCATGAGAAGGGGCTCTGAGTGGCTGCGTCTCCCTCACTCCCTGTGTCTCGTGGTCCCGGATAAAGTCCGAGGCCCCCACCCCCTGCAAGCCATGGGACCATGTCCACTGCCCATCTCTCCACACAGTGAAGAAGCAAGGTGAATAGGCCAGGTGGCAGGTGGGGACCTGGATCTGAACCCAGCTCCGTCATGGGCAAACCTTGTGGCCGCAGGCGACCTCACCACTCAGCTGCATCCTGGGGGTGCTCACAGCGGCCTCAGAGCCCAGAGTCTCAGGGGTGAGGGGCTGGGGAGGCAAGCGGACCCCTGGCAGCGAGCAGGCACCAAGCAAGCACTGGCGCCGACGCCCCCCCACCTGCGGAGGATGGGGCAGGCAGCCCCGCCCTCCCCAGCTGGCACCTGCAGGGAGGGAGCTGCACTTGGGTGGTGGGGCCCCAGGGAGGGGGTGGTGCCACCCTCCCACCTGTGCCAGGTGCCACCCACAGGCTGCTCACCGCAGAGGGGCCCCGGGGGCTTTCCCCTGCGCCACCCCCAGCCCTATGCCAGGCGTTCCAAGCCCCGCAGAGCTTGGCTCTGGCCTGGGTCCCGGCAGCTGTGGCTCCTTGGCCCGCTGGGATCGGAAGGATGTGTTGTGCCTACAGGCTGGGGTCTGAAATAACAGGGCACCCCCTGCATGCCTGGCGCGGTGCCCCCAAGTTATCACGCCCCCATCTGACCCTCCTGGAAGGGCAGGTGGCATCGCCTCCCCACCCTCACCAGTTCAACAGCAGTTTATGCGTACCTACTGCGTGCTGGCCTGGGAGAAGCACTAGGGACCCAGATGAGGGCCCGCTCGCTCAGAGCTCATGTTACAGCTGAGGACACTGAGGCCCTGAGCGGCCCGAAGCGCCATGCCCAGGGTCACGCAGCTGGATTCCAATCAAGGTCGGGCTCTGGAAGTCCCACTTTTCCCTGTAAGCTCCCCCCAACCGGGCCTCAGTCTCCTTCTCTGTAAAATGGGCACCACGGGGCCTCCCTCGGGGCTCTGTGAGGGACACGGAGATGGAGCATGTGACCTAGGGACGGCACATGGTGCAGTGGGACACAGCCGGCAGAGACCTGGCCAACCCTGCTTGGCATCCTTCAGTTGCTGCCACTGCCCATAGCACTGGAGGCCCACCGCCTTCCCCAGCCCGACTCCACCTGCACACAGACCCCCCCGCCCCCCTGCCCTGCCCTCCAGCCCGTCAGACTCCTCGGCGCTCCCACACATGTGTGCACAGCATCCCACGCGTCTCTGCTTGCACTCTCCCTCTGCCTGGAACGCCTTCCACATAAATGGCACTATTTGCCTCCAGCCCCCACCCCCACACCAAAACCCCACGCAGGAAGTCCTGCTCTTATCCCATTTCCAGATACAGAACGGAGGCAGGGAGAGACGAAGAGGCGTGCCTAGTTCCGCTCGGCCATCGAGCAGGGCGCGTCTCTAACCGCTGCGTGGCGCTGCCCGCCCGTGGGCTCACAGCCTCGCCGGAGCGCCGTCCTCCAACCCTCCGGCCCGGCGAGACACCCCTCGGCCACTCACATGGTTGGGTCTCCCTGGGGTGCTGGGCCCCCTCCAGGCCAGGCTCGGAGAAGGGCGCAGGGCAAGCTGCTCTAACAGAGACACTGGGGCTGGTGTGGCCCGGGGAGCGTGCGCAGCCCCATGCAGCCTTCCGTGGGGACGGGGGAGTGGCCTGGCCCCTGGAGCCCCGACCGTGGCTGGGTCCCTGCAAGCCCGGAGGCGCCCTTACCTACTCGGAGCTCTTGCCCGAAGACAGTCTTCTCGCCGAGGGCGGAGCAGTTCCAGCGTCCGAAGCGGAACTGGTACTGGCACTCATTGATGCCCATCTGCGCCCCCTCCCCGATCACGATGATGGCATCGGGCCGGCTCTGGCAGATGGCGCGCTGCCGCGGGGCCAAGCCAGGAATCTTGTTGCAGATGATGTTGGCTCCCAGGGCCACGACGGACGACAGTGCTCTGCGGAGAGGGCAGAGGACACGGGCAGGTGAGTGGCGGCACAGGGCCCCTCGCCCTCCGCCTGCCGTCCTGCCTCGCTCAGTCTCTCGGTCAGCCAGTGGGCTCCGGGCGCCCACCACGTGCCAAGTTCTTCCTAGAGATTCCCTAGAGAATCCATTTCCCATGGACCAAAACGCATGATCCCAGCCTGAAAAGGCACTCACGCCCGTGCCTTCTCAGCCTCAGCACGGCCAGAGCCACGGGTCACAGGTCCCGGGAGTCAACAGTCCCACGGAAAGCAAGAACCCCAGCTCCCCGTGCCTCTGAATCAGACCCACAGACCCTTCGGGTCAGAGAACCTCGCGCCTGGGATTCGACAACCGTCAGCTCCAAATTGTCTGCAGCTACCCCCGAGAGCAGCCCCAACTCCTGACCCCTGGGCTTCCCCATCACTTGTAGCTCCTGGGCCGGGAAGGCTGCTGAGCTGCCTGGCCCCGCTGAGAGTCAAGCCCACTGGGTCCTGACTCCACGTGCAACCCGTCTGTAATCTTGGCAAGGTGCTCTGCCTGAGCCTCAGTATTCACATCCATGAAACGGGAGTATAAAACATCTGACGCCCCCCCCCCCCCATCACCACTTCCACCACATAGGCTCAGACCAGACAACCACAAGGAGAAAGGCGGCACCCATGGGGCAACTGCAGTTGTCATTCACTCGTTTCTGGACGACTGGGTAGACTCGGGGAGGAATCAGGAGCTGATGTGAATGGAGCATCTACTGTGTGCTGGGCTGGGCAGGGTCCTCTTTGCAACACTGTATCCTCAGAGTGTAATTCATCTGGCGCCCTCCCAAGACCGGAGGGCACTTGCCAGGCTCACTCTGCTCACTTGAGGTGTTACCGGCTTGTTTATTTTCTGAGGGGACCTACGGTACAGGTAACCATTTTGAAGGGTACAGTCTGCAGCACTTAGTCATGTTCCAAGATATTTTCACCACCCCCAAAATGAAACCCCATGCCCCTCAGCAGGCACTCCCGATTCTCTCCCCTCCCCCAGGCCCTGCAACCGGGAATCTGTGATTCTAGCTTTTCCATAGAGATGCAGTCACATAATATGTGCCCTTCCGTGTCTGGCTGCTCTCACTTCGCATCGTGTTTCCCAGGTTCGGCCACATTGTGGCAGGTGTCCGTGTTTCCGTCCCTTCTGTGGCTGAGTAATATTCCATCACGTGCAGGGACCACCTTCCGTGTATCCACTCACCAGTTAGTGGACATTGGGCTCCCACCACCTCTGGGCACTTGTGAACAGATCTGTTACAAACATGGGCATATAAGGTTTTGTCTGAGTCCCTGTTTTCAATTTTGGGGGGCATATTCCTAGGAGTGGAATTGCTGGGTCATGTGGCCGTTTGTTTAGCTTTTTGAGGAACCACCAAACTATTTTCCACAGAAGGGGCACGAGTTATTTGGTTTTGAGCACCCAGAGGAGGGGGTGGACAGCAAGTAGGGAAGGAGGTGGGGGCTGGTTTGGGCAAACCTATGGGCAAACAGCCGAGTTTCAGAGTGGCATCTGGCTTCCAAACCAGAGACCAGACTGGCTTAGTGAGGGACAAAGTGTGGGGATGAGGGAGACCACCAGGGGCTCCCCAAGCTGACATCCACGGCCCTGGCCTCCCAGTGCCCTGAGTTCTCTGCTCCTGCCCACTGGCCGCCAGCCCCTTTCTTGAGAGGAACAAGTCAGTGTTTTTCCAGGGCAGCCAAGCACCCACAGCCAGCTGGGAAAGTCCCCGTGTGGTGCGAGCCCACAGCACGTGCTGCAAGCCGGGCCCCCCGGCGACACTCAATCCCCATGGCCTGCCCGCCCCACTCACTAATCTGGCCAAGACCCCCCTGGGTCTCCCACGGGCACAATGGGCAGAAATGCCCGAGGCTGGCATGGAAGAAGAGCCTCTGGGCGGGCTGGGCTGGGAGTGGGCTGGAATCTGGGGAATTCAGCCCAAAGTAATTGTAGATGCTCAGAAAACCGACCCGGGGAACTGAGATGGATGGGAACCAGCCTCCAGGCCTCGGGACGGAGCCCACTTTGGATCCCGGATGCTAAAAGCAAGCTCCCCGTTCCCAAATTCTTCCAGCAGTCTCTAGGCTGCAGAGCCCCCCCCCCCACTGCTTGGGGTAAGAACCCTGTTGGGGGTAGGAGCTTGGACAAATGGGTTCTGAATGGGGGGACCCAGTGGACTGAGGATGGACCCCAGGGGCCGAAACAGTCCTGGTCTCCTGCCTCCAGGCAGACTCCCAGCCCCCGCCAGCACCCAGGTCTATGTCACTCCCCTGCTCAAAGCCCATCCAATAGCTCCCCAGGCTCCTTGGTGTAGAATCAGAGGCCTCCCGGGATCTGGCCTCCGACCACCCTGCCACCTTTGCTTGTGCTGGTCCCTCTGCCCGGGATGCCGTTCGTTCTCCCTTTTCTGTCCGGCAAACTCTACCTGCCTTGTGCCCAAGTGCAAGTCCCCTGAGCTCAAACCCCTTGGCCCCCAGGCATGGAGGAAGCACACGGTGGGCACCTGTCTCTCGAGTACCACCCTCACCCCTGGGCTCCCACTGTGGCCCTTTTCACAGCCTTCCCAGCAGACCACAAGCACCTAAGGACAGGGCCAGGTCCCGGCTAAATCTGGGGTTCCCAGGGCTGCCCCCTGTAGCTGCCCATGACTGTTTGTGGCGTTACTGAACAAATGAGTAAATACTCAGATAATGTCTGAAAGAGCTCCCGCCTCTTAATAACAAAAAGATAATCAATTTAAACATGGTCAAAGGACTTGAACAGGTATTTCTCCAAAGAGCCGTAAATGACCAACAATCAAGTGAAAAGATCCTAAATTCACTCATGAGGGAAATGCAAATCAAAACCCGCGAGGTGCCACCTCACACGCGCTAAGATGCCCCTGGTCAAAACAAGAGAAAGTGCCAGGTGTTGGCAGGCTGTGCGGAAATCGGAGCCCTCGTGCATCGCCAACAGGAATGCGGGCAGCCACCGTGGATGACAGTCAGGAAGTTCCTCAAAAAGTGAAACATAGAATTACCATAGGTCCCAGCAATTCCACTCCTTGGTCTATGCCCAGAACTGAAGACAGGTATTCAAACAGAGACTGTCCACAAGAGCCAGAAGGAGCAAAGACCCCGGATGTCCACCAGGGGCGGAAGGGGCAGACAGACTGTGGTCTATCCATACTATGTATGGAATGCTACTTGGTCATGAGCAGGAATGAAGTATGGATCCATGCTCCATGGAGGAACCTCAAAGCTAGTACGCTGAGTACACAGACACACAGACTACACATTGGATGATTGCATTTGCATGAAGTGTCCGGCAAAGGACAGAAGGTGGACCCGTGGTCGCCTGGGGCTGCAGGGAGGAGGCACCGGGAGCGCCGGCTTGGCAGGTGTGATGACAAAGTTATGCAGCCCAATTGAGGTGATCGGGAATGCACTTATACCCCTCTGAGTGACACACTTTCAAATGGTTAAAGTGGCAAATTTTATGTGTATTTTAAACACAATTTTTAAAAAGTCCATCTATACACAGGACTTCTGCACCTTGGACATCAGTGGGATGGGTAGCTGGGGACAAGAAGGGCCTTGCCCAGCTAATCCTGTTTGTATGCTTTCCCAGGACACGTGGAGCTGATGGAGCAGGGGGCACGGGGGCCCCCAGCCAGCCCCCAGCAGCCCGTGTGCGGGCCAAAGGTGAAGTAAAGGCGTCGGAGAAGACAGTCACACAGTATTTTGTGCCAGGAACATAAATACTGAGAAATGGCTAACTCAGAAGTCAATTTGAAACTGTCTCCCTTAGAGTGTGGGGGTTTATCCACTCACAGTTTAAATACACCCATTCTGAACACCAGCCGCAGACCCCGCGGGCCTCCCCTGGGTCTCAAGGCTCTCTCCTTACATCCCCATGTTGCAGCTGTGCAGACTGCAGCTCAGAGAGGCGAGGGGACGTGCCTGAGGCTGCACAGCCAGGCTCAGAGCCCGGTCCCTGATTCCAGAATTCAGGCAGAGGCAGCGTGGTGCCCCATAGCAGGGGCATACCAAGCACCAGAGCCTAGAGCGGGAAACAATGCCCACCTTTTCGTCTTGAAACACAGCTTTAAATCTTTCTCCTGCTCAAAATCCTCCAAGGTCACTCACGAATTCAGTTCCGGGTTGATGGACAGCTTCCACTGCTGGAGTTTGAGGTCTCAGCCACCCTGCCCCTTCCCTCCCCTACGGCCCACACGCTCGCAGCGAGTCTGACCACTGCCCTCCCTGAGAAGGCCTGGCCCTGCCAGCCACACCCCTAGCCTTGGCCACACTGTTTCTTCCACCTGGAGGGTTAGGCGGGGGCTGCAGTTATGGGAATCCTCGTTAGGGAATCCACCAGAGTGGAAAGGGGCAAAAATACATGGTAACTTGAAATTGGTGATCTGGGGGAGGGGCAAGGAGGGTGGAAGGTGGGGGGGAAGGGCAAGGGGACTTAGGGGGAGGGAGAGGAGTGGGGAGCAGGGAGGAGTGGAGGAGGGGCAAGGAGCAGCAGGGGAGGAGGGCGAGGGCAGGCTGCGTCCTGGAATAATTGGCAGTTTGGGAGCGAGTTTGGCATCTCAGCAAGCCGCCCTCAGGGTGAGCCTGGCTCTCACCCCCAAGCAGCAAGACAACCCCGGGTGGCTTCTCGGCCCGCAGCTGCCCACCAGGTGCCCCGGGAGAGCTAGCAGGGAGGTTGCGAGTGGCCCTGAGCACAGAGAGGCCGGGCTGGCCGCTCCGGTTTCAGTCGCTGACTTTTGCCGTGGAAAATTCTGCTCCAGGTTCATCTCCTTGCGCTATTCGGGGGCCTCGGGACAAAGGTAAGACGCGGAGGAGCGGGCAAAGCTGAAAGTCTGGAACTGTTCCTCAGCCCTGGCCTGGGCCAGCCCCACGAAGGGAGCCTGCAGGACAAGGGGCTCCTGTCTTGTCCCCGGGGACTGATCTCCAACCAGAGGTGCCGAAGCTGGCA